GTCTACAATCCACCATTTCTGTCCTGGGCTTACGTACATATTCAAACCAATATACTGTGAGATGTGGAATGATATACTCAGGCTTTTTCAAAATTCTTTAGAATAGGATAGATGTTTTTAAATGCTTCATAGATCTCAGAACGTTCTTTGGCACCTGTAAAGAAATCCAAGTTTATATAATTTTTAATATAAAAACAATACCAAAGTTTTCTTAAAACTAAAACTTCATTGTCATCTCCAGTTACTTTTAATACGATAACATCCCTTTAGTTGTACCTGAGAAGTGACGTTTATTCCTGGTAAAGAAAAAAATTTAGTGACTACAGTCACATTGCCACAAACACGTACCCTAGAGGAGAGTTTTCTAGTACTTCTGCTCTGTGGGCATATCAGCTCATTTTTTAGCCTCACAGGGCACAGTATAAAATATGAAATGTTCTCTCTCATTTTGCCATGAACATCACCACAGAACATGACCTTCAGCAGCACCTGTGAGCACTCAGCTACCAGCAAAAGGGACTTCCTTTGATCCATTCATTTCTAGTTAGCATCTCAATTCCCTAATATTGACTAACAGAACGAGACAAACTGGAGCTGTTTTACATTTCAGTGTGTGGGAAGGGGTTATTAGAGGGGGAAAACTACTATTGTCACCCTTAGTGTCTTAAGTTTCAAGGCATCTTTAATTATAGCATTACTGCCCTACAAGTTAAAAAGGATCAAAACATGAGTTAGACGCAGTCCTCACCCCTTGAGAGATATTATCACTCAGTCCCTACTCATCTCTCACCATCACTCACCACTAACTTCTGCCACCTTAAAACTATGCAGGCACATTGTGCTAAGGGTTGTAGACTGGTAGCGCTTATGTTATTTGGAGCTGTCAGCTAATCAAGAAACTATTATCTGATATTATTGGGCAGGAGACAAAGATGTTAATGAAAATATAAAAAACTGTTGGCATGAAGAGGAAAAGAAAATAGCTCAAGTTAATAAAGACTCTTCCTTGAGAGCTATAAAGTAAGAGAGGAGAAAGGCTCAGTATAAGGGCAGAAATAACATGTGGGAAGTGATTATCTGGTTCAATTACAGTAATAATGGGAGGGAATTACCAAAAGGAGGATCACCAGATTTGAGAAGCAGGTAGAAATCAGGATTCAGAATCAAGGAAGAGCTGTAATAATATTTTAAAAAATGGAGGGGGCCGGCCTGGTGGCGCAGCAGTTAAGTGCACACGTTCTACTTCAGGGGCCCAGGGTTTTCTGGTTCGGATCCCAGGTGCAGACATGGCACCGCTCATCAAGACATGCTGTGGCAGGCATCCCCTACTATTATTGTGTTATTTTTATATCTTCTTTTAGGTTTGTTAATAGTTGCTTTATGAGCTTTGGTGCTCCTGTGTTGGGTGTATAGGTATTTATAAGCATTATTTCTTCTGGATGTAGTGTTCCTTTGATCATTATATATTGACCCTCTATGTCTGTCTAAGTATTGTGACACCTGCTTTCTTTTGTTTGCCATTAGCTTGGAGTATCGTCTTCCAGCCCTTCACTCTGAGCCTGTGTTTGTCATTGGAGCTGAGGTGTGTTTCCTGGAGGCAACAAATTGTTGGATCTTGTTCTTTAATCCATCTTGGAACTCTGTGTCTTTTTATTGGAGAGTTCAACCCGTTTACATTGAGGGTGATTATTGATGTATGAGGGCTTAATGCTGTCATTCTGTCACTCGTTTTCTGGTTTTCCTGCATTTCCTTTGTTTCTCGTCCTGTGTGTTTTGGCCTACCCAATGACTTCTGCAATTTCTTATGCTGGGTTTCTTAGCTTTTTCCTTATTTTTTGTCTCTGTTCTGTTTTTTAGTTTAGTGGCTACCCTGAAGTTTGTACTCAGAATCTCATGCATAACAGTACATTTTCTGGTGGCCTCTTATTTCCTTAGCCTACTGATTCAGCCCCTTTCCTCCTCCCCTCCTAAGTTATTATTTTCATCTCTTATTCCAACTTGTGTTGTGAGATTGTGGTCAAAGTGACAAGCTTGTCTTTGTTTTTGGTGTTTTCCTTCCCTTTATCCTAATGCTATAGTTGAATATTTGCTATCCTATTCTAATTCTATCTATCTTTCTCCTTACTCTGTGTTTTATGACCACTTTCTCCCTTTTTTTCTTTTTTCAGGTATGAGGGCCTTCTTGAGGATTTCTTGTAGTGGGGGGAGGTCTCGTGGCTACGGAGTCTCTTTGCTTTTGTTTGTCTGGGAAAGATTTAACTTCTCCCTCATATTGGAAGGATATTTTTGCTGGATAGAGTATGCTTGGCTGAAGACTTTTATCTTTTAAAGTTTTGAATATGTCATTTCAATCTCTCCTAGCTTGTAAGGTTTCTGCAGAGAAATCTGCTGAAAGTCTGATGGGGGTTCCTTTGTAGGTTATTTTCTTCTGCCTTGCTTCCCTGAGTATTCTGTGTCATTCATTTTTGCCATTTTTACTACTATATGCCTTGCAGTAGGTCTTTTTTACATTGACATATCTAGGAGATCTGAAAGCTTCCTCCACACACATTTCTCTCTCAATCCCTAGATTTGGGAAGTTCTCTGCTATTATTTCTTTGAGCATGCTTTCTGTTCCATTCTCCTTTTCTTCACCTTTGGGGATTCCAATAATTCTTATGTTGCATTTCCTCATTGAGTCAGCTATTTCTCAGAGATTTTCTTCAGTTTTTTTTTTATTCTTAGTTCTCTTTCTTCCGCTGTCTGGAGCCATTCAACCTATCTTCAATTATGCTAATTTTCTCCTCTGTGGTGTCTACACAGGCATGTAGGGAATCCGTATTTTATCTGTTCCATTGTATTTTTCATCTCTAGTATTTGATTGATTCTTCTTTATAGTTTCAAACTCTTTTGTGAAGTAAATCCAGAACTTGTTGACTTGTTTCTCTGTATTTTCCTTTACCTCATTGAGTTTTCTGATGATAGCTATTCTGAATTCATTGTCATTTAGTTTACTTATTTCCAAGTCCTCAGGACATAATTCTGTGTTTTTATTGTTTTCCTTCTGGTCTGGAGTTTTTACGAATTGTTTGATGCCAGAAGAGTTTTTCCACATAGTGATATTATTCAGTTGCAGTTACAGCCTGTTACCACTAGATGGGGGTCGAGAGCCGTGTATTCTGAGCCCTCTGCCTTCAGCCAAGACAGCATGCACAGCGCAGGTTGGGGGAGGGGGGTCACCTTCTCTTGTGCACGACCCAGGTTTCCCCGCCAGCTCTTGCTATCTGGTCTACTGGGGTCTTGGCTTGATGAGGTCACCCCATGCGAAAGCTTTCACCGTGTTAGAGGACTTCCCTCTAGGCTGCAAGGGCCCTAGGGAGTCCTGGGTGATCCCACAGACGTGCGGCCCCTCCCCCACTCCTTCCCTCACAGAGCCTCCCAAAGCAGCGACCACAGTTTTAGGGGAGGAAGCTAAGATCTCTCTTACCCTGTTGCAGCTCCTCCGAGGGGGGCTCCAGCCTCTCCACCCTCCATTGTTTGGCTGCTGTGGGTCTCTGAGGATTCCTGTGCTATTAGGATATTTTTTGTTGGAATATGTTTGCTCCTTTTTGTTGTATGTTGGAGGGGAGAGAGTTCTGAGCAAGCTCACCCCACCATGATACTGATGTCACTCCAACTTTTTCAGCTTCTGGATACATTTGAATGCAGCAGCCATCTTCTTAGGAGACAGTGAAGTATAGTAGGTATAGCAACACACACATCCCCTCCACTCCCCACAAACCAAAGTCCTTTTCATATTGAATTGAGGAATAGAGTGTCTAGGCCCAGCATTTTGGGTAACTATGTACTTTAGTTTTTTCATAACACTTAAAAAAAATCATACCTAAGCATTACATTCAAGCCCCAAAGAGTACAGCATCTGGCACTTCTGGAGAGCAGAAAACACCCATTGCCCAAGAGGAAACAGACATTGAGAGTGATTATTTTATATCAGAAAAACTTTAGACACAAAAAGGCTTTAGGGAAATTATCTAGAACATTTCTTCATTCCCTTTGTGGGGAAATGAGGCCCAAGAAGTTGAAGTTCCCTTGAATTATGAGTAGCAGCTATGGGAGAAGACCTCACGTATCTAGTTCCTTCCTTTACACCAAAAGTCATCAAATAAACATTGCCAGGATTTGTAACTTGGTGTTACAATGAGGGGATTTAGTCAATTTGCTCAAATATTTCCTCACTGAAATATTGGCATCAAAACTTTAAGGGAACTTAAATTGGTCCCATAGTCCTATTAATAATCAATCTATAATCAAACATCCTAATTTGCAGCACCAGATTCAGATGAGATGACCCTTGCCTTTTAAGCAAAACTTATCAGCCCTTTCCTTCAGGTAATAATGACCACCACTTTGGGGGATAAACACCATTCTGTGGTGACAGAGGTGGAAATTCTGTGGCTGCTGCATTGGAAAAAGGACTGGCTCTGAGATCAAAGCATATTGGCTCAAATGCCAGCTCTTCCACTAACCAGGTTTGAATCACAGGCAAATTGCTTAATGTCTGAGTTTGTTTCTTACCTGTAAAATCAAGATGACAGCCTTCTCATGGGCATGCTATAAAGGGCTACGTGAACAAATGTTTGTAAAAAGTCCTTTGTCAACCATAGCATTTGTCAAAACCTAAGCTGTTTTTATTGTCCTAGAAAATGTGCTTCAGGATTAGGGTGTTAGGATGGCTAGTCCAAGGACACAGGGTTTGCCATTTGGTTCTGTAAGAGCCAATTTGTTTACATCTGTCTCCTTCACTAGGGCTGGATTCTTGCCAGATGGAGTGTGTGTTATGTTCACTTTTCGGGTTTTTTTAACTTTTTTTTTTTTTTTTAGGCAGATTAGCCCTGAGCTAACATCTCTGCCAATCCTCTTCTTTTAGCTGAGGAAGACTGGCCCTGAGCTCACATCCGTGTCCATCATCCTCCACTTTACATGAGGGATGCCTACCACAGCATGGCGTGCCAAGCAGTGCCATGTCCACACCCAGGATCTGAACCCATGAACCCCGGGCCACCGAGAAGTGGAACGTGAGAACTTAACCGCTGCACCACCGGACCGGCCCCTGTGTTTGCTTTTCATCCTCAGCACCTAAAACATCATGTGTACCTGGTAGGCAGCTAAAGTTTATGAAATATCTATCATCTGTCAATAAGGTTTGTAAGCTCGTCCCTACCCCTCAGCCAGCCCAAATATTAATTTCCAACACTACTTGGATTTGCCAATTCTATTCTTAAACCAAGTCACAACTACACATCATATTTCCTCAAGTGATACCACATGTGTGCACACAAGTGAAAATCTTGCAATGTGAGGGAAAAAAACAGCATGAAACCCCTCAAGGTACACGTTTTGCAGTATATACAAACTTGCTATTAGTGGGGGATCCCTGGTAATGACTGTCATGGATATTCTGCTCTCGCTGGCCCACTCACTAAGAAGTCTGTTTTGTTTCTTTTTTTAAAGATTGGCACCTGAGCTAACAACTGTTGCCAAACTTTTTTTTTCTGCTTTTTCTCTCCCCAAATTCCCCCAGGATATAGTTGTATATTTTAGTTGTGGGTCCTTCTAGTTGTGTCATGTGGGATGCCACCTCACTGTGGCCTGATGAGCGGTGCCATGTCCGTGCCCAGGATCCGAACCCAGCAAAACCCTGGGCCGCCAAAGCGGGATGCGTAAACTTAACCACTCAGCCACGGGGCTGGCCCAGGCTGGTCATTTTTATACTGCCCTCTGACCTAGACATTTCCAAGAATCACTGATGTCTAGCTGATTGTGAGTGACCCTCAGTAACAAAGACCCAGCTTCTTAGTCCTTTATGCTGGAGAGAAATAAGTAAATGTGAAGCATTTTATTAAATCCTCTTTAGACTTCATATTCCCATTGGCAGGGCAAGGCATCACAGCACATTTCCAGTCTTTTTGAATGCCAGGGAAAAAACATGAAGAGTGGGCTTTCACCGAGGTAATAACCACTAACACTGATACCATGGCCAACATATACCAGGCACAGGTTTTCTGCCTCCTCACAACACTTGTGGCAGGTAGCTTCTATGGCCACCTGCCCTATGCATATGTGGAAATCAAGGTGGGGAACTCAAGCTCACCCACGTTCATACAGCCTAAGTGGGAAAGGCTGGAATCACACTGGATAACTGGTTTCCAGAGCCCAGCCTCTTAGCCACCACACCTGCTGCCTCTCCCCACTAATAGAGTACACATCACTCCTTCAGCTGACGAGGAGGATTAGGGAGAAAACGTCCAACCAACCATACAGGAGTTTTCACTGACTTCCAAAGAGCTGGGGGATGGGGCAAGTATGTGAAGAGGATGGGCTCTGGAGTCAAGCTGCTTAAGTTACCACCTGTGCTGCAGCACACAAAGCTGTGTGACATTGCTAAGGTTACTTAACCTCTCCATTGTCCCCACTTTACAGGTGAGGAAACAGATATTAAGTACAACCTCACATAGTTAACTAGAACCCACGTAAAAGATCTTATCACAGTGCCTGGCATGTGAGTGCACCAAATATGTCAACTCTATTATGTCTGATCTTAGAAGTGAAAATTAACATATCTGTTCATTGTATATTATTCCAGATCTTGGCTATATTATTAATTTTACTGTGGTTTGAGAAAAAAACATGGGTCCTAGGTGTCATGCCAGCTGTAGAAAAGCAGCATGGACCTAGGACAACAGTGTTAAGCTTGTCCCAGGTCCCACTGCTTTTTGCTGTCAGGGACCATGACAAGGTAGGATACTAGGTCCTGTTTGTCCTTGGCTCACTTAACTATAATTAGAACATTCAGATGTAGCCTTGGATATCGTGGCTGCAGCTTTGGTACCTCAGAAGAGTAAGACAATTTTACATGGATAAAGGGTTTTCAAAGACCCTGCAAATGGCACATGATACAATGGTTTCAAATCGCCACTTCTTTGTATTATGTGTATTGGTGTTCTACAGTTCCTACTTGGGGAAGTGCCAGGATCCGTTACTTAATACAGTGAAATTCAAACTGCATTTTTAATTTCAATACTCTTATGTTTTCTAGGCAAAAATTATTTACCCTTGTAGAGACTTTGCTTTCAAAACAGATCTGCAGAGTTTTGCCATGTTGGAGTAGACAATGTGAGCCTCTAGGACTCCACTGGACACTTGACATGACCATCCCCAGCTGAAGCTCTAGAGGTAAGGTTCAAAGGAAACTCCTTGGTCTCTTTCCCCAGGTTTACACTCAAAATTGGGCCCTTGAGTTTTTAATCCTTTTGCAGGGGAAAAGAGTCTAGATACCTAAGGATAAGGGATAAAGAATAAGGAACATTTGTCTCTAAGGTTGGAGAAAAAGTAACCTAAACTACATAGTTCTAGGTGAAGTACTTTAAGACAATACAGCATACAGGAAACCACATGAGAAGAGAGCAAGAGAAGAAGGAACAGAGAAGAACTACTAAAACACCCAGAAAAAACAAAATGGCAAGAAGTACATACTTATCAATAGTTTCTTTAAATGTCAATGGACTAAATGCTCCAAAAAAAGACATAGGTGGCTGACTAGATGAAAAAAAAAAACAAGATGCATATATATGCTGCATACAAGTGACATGCTTCAGACCTAAGGACACTCACAAAGTGAAAGTGAAGGGATGGAAAAAGATACTCCATGCAACTGGCAATGAAAAGAAAGCTGGGGTAGCAATACTTATATCAGACAAAATAGACTTTAAAACAAAAACTGTAACAAGAGACAAAGAAGGACACTGCATAATGATAAAGGGAACAATCCAACAAGAGGATATAACACTTGTAAATATCTATGCGCCCAACATAGGACCACCTAAATATAGAAAACAATTATTAACAGACATAAAAAGGAGAAATAGACAGTAACACAATAATACTAGGGGACTTTAACACTCCTCTTACACCAATGGATAGATCATCCAAACAGAAGACCAATAAGGAAACACTGACCTTAAATGACACATTAGACTAGATGGACCTAGTAGATATATACAGAACATTCTATCCAAAAACCACAGAATACACATTCTTTTTGAATGTACATGGGACATTCTCCAGGATAGATCACATATTGGGCCACCAAACAAGACTCAATAAATTTAAGAAGATTGAAATAATACCAAGCATATTTTCTGACAAAGAGTATGAAACTAGAAGTCAACTACAGGATAAAAATTAGAAAAGCCATAAATATGTGGAGAGTAAACAAAACGCTGTAGTTTACTGAATAAACTGAACAACTATTGGGTCAATGAAGAAATCAAAGGAGAAATCTAAAAATTCCTGGAGACAAATGAAAATGAAAGTATGACATGTCAAAATTTATGGGATACAGCAAAAGCAGTTCTAAGAGGAAAGTTTATAGCAATACAGACCTACCTCAGCAAACAAGAGAAATCTCAAATAAAAAATCTAGCAGTGCACCTAAAGGAACTAGAAAAAGAACAAACAAAGCCCAAAATCAGTAGAAGGAAGGAAATAATAAAAACCAGAGCAGAAATAAATGAAATAGACATTCAAAAAACAATAGAAAAAAAGTCAATGAAACTAAGAACTGGTTCTTTGAAGAGATAAAACAAAAGTGACAGGCCTTTAGCTAGACTCACCAAGAAAAAAAAGGATCAAATAAATAAAATCAGAAATGAAAGAGGAGAAAAACAATGGACACTAGGAAATACACCAACAAATTGGATAATCTAGAAGAAATAGATAAATTCTTAGAATCATACAACCTTCCAAAGCTGAATCAAGAAGAAATAGAGAATTTGAATAGACCAATCACCAGTAAGGAGATCAAATCAGTAATCAAAAACCTCCCAAAAAATAAAAGTCCAGGACCAGACGGCTTCTCTGGTGAATTCTACCAAACATTCAAAGACGACTTAATACCTATCCTTCTCAAACTCTTCCAACAAATTGAAGAGGAAGCTTCCTAGCTCATTCTATGAGGCCAACATTACCCTGATACCAAAACCAGACAAAGACAACACGAAAAAAGAAAATTACAGGTCAATTTCACTGATGAACATCGATGCAAAAATCCTCAACAAAATACTAGCAAATTGAATATAACAATACATTAAAAAGATCATATACCCCCCCCAAAAAAAAAAAAAAAGATCATATACCATAATCAAGTGCGACTTATTCCAGGGATGTGGGCATGGTTCAACATCTGCAAATCAACCAATGTCATACACCACATTAACAAAATGAAGAATAAAAATCATGTGATCATCTTAATAGATGCAGAGAAAGCATTTGACAAGATACAGTATCCATTTATGATAAAAACTCTGAATAAAATGAGTATAGAAGGAAAGTACCTCAACATAATAAAGGCCATATATGACAAACCCACAGCTAATATTCTGAATCAAGAAAAACTGAAAGCTATCCCTCTAAGAACAGGAACCTGACAAGGGTGGCTACTTTAGCCAGTCTTATTTAACATAGCATTGAAGCCCTAGCCCAAGCAATCAGGCAAGAAAAAGAAAGAAAAGGGATCCAAATTGGAAAGGAAGAAGTGAAACTGTCACTATTTGCAGATGACATGATTTTATATATATAAAACCCTCAAGAATCCACCAAAAACTTTTAGAAATAATAAATGAATACAGTAAAGTTGAAGGATACAAAATTAACAAACAAAAATCAGTTGTATTTCTACACACTAACAAAGAAGTAGCAGAAAGAGAAATCAAGAATACAATCCCATTTACAATTGTGACAGAAAGAAAACAATACCTAGGAATAAATTTAACCAAAAGAATGAAAGACCTGTACACTGAAAACTACAAAGAAAGACTGGTACAGTGAAAACTATAGAACATTGTTGAAAGAAACTGAACGAGACACAAAGAAATGGAAAGATATTCCGTGCTCTTGGATTGGAAGAATTAACATAGTTAAAATGTCCATACTTCCTAAAGCAATCTATAGATTCAATTCAATCCCTATCAAAGTTCCAATGACATTTTTCACAGAAATAGAACAAAGAATCCTACAATTTATATGGAACAACAAAAGACCCCAAAAAGCTAAAGGAATCCTGAGAAAAAAGAACAAAGCTGGAGGCATCACACTCTCTGATTTCAAAATATACTACAAGGCTGTAATAATCAAAACGACATGGTACTGGCACAAAAACAGATACACAGATCAATGCAACAGAATCAAGAGCCCAGAAATAAACCCACACATCTATGGACAGCTAATTTTTGCCATGGGAGCCAAGAACCTACAATGGAGAAAAGAAAGTCTCTTCGGTGAATGGTGTTGGGAACCTGGACAGCCAAACACAAAAGAATGAAAGTAGACCATTCTCTTACACGTACACAAAAATGAACTCAAAATGGATTAGCAACTTGAATGTAAGACCTGAAACCATAAAACTTCAAGAACAAAACAAAGGCACCATGCTCTTTGACATTGGTCTTAGCAGCATATTTTCAAGTACCATGTCTGACCAGGCAACAGAAACAATAGAATAAACAACCAAATGGGACTACATCAAACTAAAAAGCTTCTCGTCAACAAAATGAAAAGAAAACCTAACAATTCAGAGAAGATATTTGCAAACCATATATCTGATAAGGGGTTAATACCCAAAATATATAAAAAACTCATACATCTCAACAACAAAAAAACCCCTAACAACTCAATTAAAAAATGGGCAAAAGATCTGGACAGACATTTTTCCAAAGAAAATATACGGATGGCCAACAGGCACATGAAAAAATGTTAAACATCGCTAAATACTAGGGAAATGCAAATCAAAACTACAATGAGATATCACTTCACTCCCATCAGAATGGCTATAATTAACAAGACAGGAAACAAATGTTGGAAAGGATGTGGAGAGAAGGGAATCCTCATATACTGCTGGTGGGAATGCAAACTGGTGCAGCCACTATGGAAAACAGAATAGAGATCCCTCAAAAAATTAAGACTCAAACTACCATATGATCCAGCTATTCCACTGCTGGGTATTTATCCAAAGAACATGAAAACATGAATGTGTAAAGATACATGCACCCCTATGTTCATCACAGCATCATTCACAATAGCCAAGACTTGGAAACAAGCTAGGTGCTCATCAAGGGACGAATGGATAAAGAAGATGTGGTATTTATACACAATGGAATACAACTCAGCCATCAGAAATGAGGAAATCCGGCTATTTGTGACAACATGGATGGACCCGGAGGGAATTACACTAAGTGAAATAAGTCAGAGGGAGAAAGTCAAATGCTGAATGAGCTCACTCATAAGTAGTAGAAACAACACCAACCAAACACATAGATCCAGAGATTAGATTGGTGGTTACCCGAGGGGAAGTGGAGAGGGAGGAGAGTGAAAGGGGTCATTAGGCACATGTGTGTGGTGATGGATTTTAATTAGTCTCTGGGTGGCGAACATGATGCAGTCTACACAGAAATCAATATAGTGATGTACACCCAAAATTTATATAATGTTATAAGCCAATCTCACCTCAATAAAAAAAAGAATAGGATAAATAAGGAAAAATCCCAATAGATGAAAATTACTCCTACTTCAGTTGTAAGACATTGACTTTTATTTCATAACATAAGCAGAAATTTAGACTTCAGTCAATGCATCTCATTCCCCCCTCCACAAAAGTGATGATCTATATCTTGCAAGAATCAAGAAATTTAGTTTTGTCTGTTCTATGTTCTAATAAATTTTAAGGGAAGTGTATTGTATGGTCTTCAGTATTGCATGTTGACAATTCTTTTGTGATTTGAAACTTCCAGCAAATGTGTACACGAAAGCATTTTGTTTTTCCTTTTACTTTGGGGTAAGTGGGAAAGCTAGTTGGAATTAAGGAATTTAAAGAAGTTTGTTTCTGTGTACCTATATTGGGAACTTAGCACCTACTGGCCGTTTGAACTTTTAATAAGACTGACTTGTAATGACACAGTATATACTTGAGAATATCCTTCCAAAGGTCTTGAAAAGTTTGTTTCCTTAAGTAGGGCATCTATTTGCCTCCAATATCTATAACTATTCAAGTTCCTTGGCAGGCTTTTCCTGCTTCCTTCAAGACATATAGAGGTCAACTTCGTCCATCACCAGGAGCTCTTAATTGTTCGAGACTCTGGTGACATCTGAGAAATTGTAGCTTTGTTGTATTAAAACAGTTC